GCTGCAGCTTTCTTTGCGAAGCCTTAGCACCTTTCGACCGATTTCCATACACGCGAGTGCCACATGTGATTACCCGCAAGCGGTCCATCCTACAGACCTAAGGGAATCGCTCACACAAATTCTGCCTAGGTTCTTCTTTGCAGGGGTATCTTACCAAAAACATTCTTCGTCCTTCACCTTGTACTGACAGGAGCAAAACAAGTGAAAGCAGCTACGAACATACTCATGAAGTACAGCCAACTTTATGCTGAGCTCGCGCCGGAATTGAGGTCCACTTAAGGGCAAAGAGTAGCTATCTCAAAGAGGGGTACCCCCAGGAGGCCCGTCGCGCGGCAAGAAGGCAAAGTCAGCGGACGAGTCGCGCGCGTACTATAGGGATTTCGCGTCAAGTTAAATAGAGTGTCCCACTGCACGTCCTACATCGCACACCACGCGCTGCAACTCGTCCGCCGACTCTGCCTTCTTGCCGCGCGACGGGCCTCCTGGGGTAACCCCTCGAGTAGGAGATAGAATCGACCGAAAGCAAGAGATGATAGCCTATCACGACAACCATGCTATCCGTTTAAGGTCGATGCGCTGCACAATGTGCCGTGGCGATAGGATATGCTATCGTTTCTCTGGCTTTTGTTCAGGGTTAAGCTCGGTGGTACTCGACAACTCGAAGACCTCAACACCCTCTTCGCGTAACCTCACAGAAGAAGAATTGTTGGTTCCATTAAAGACGCCCTGTCAGAATCGTGAACATCTAAGGACAAAGAGGTCATCCCAACAAGGTGGTAATTGCTACAGCGCGATGAAATTTGCCCATCTCCCCCCAAACAAAGAAGCCAACTCCTGTAAGAAACATCAGCTTGCCACGGCGCCCATTGTCGGCTCATCGCAATAGACCTACCGACACCATACGCCCGCAACTCGCTACAGCATTGAACTAACATGTTGGACAGGAGGACCAATAACGACATCCACATTCTGCTTCACCATTTGCTCCAAAGCCACTCCGACCGCCGTCTCAGAACTGCATTCGGTGTAATTCACCACAAACCTAAACATGTGCTTGTAAGAATTCAGGAATATTGATAGCAAAGTAATTGCAATGATATCTGTTGAGCTTCCCACGTATTCCACCCAATTATGATTAGGTTCAGGGATTCTTGATATCACCTCTAATTTGACCCCAAACTCAGCACTTTTAAGCACTGCGCCGTACCGGGAATGAGGACGACAGCGTTTATTGGGTAGAAACCTGGTTGAAAGAAGCGATCACGATACAAGAGGGAGGCCGTCGAGGAAGTATGAGCAACACACGAAGCACAGTACTTGGCTGCCAAGGAAGCGAGGAGGTGTGGTGCTCTTGTGACAAAAGGTGCAAAGGGCAAAGTGTGACAAAGGGTCTGGTTGCGCTGGAGTAAACTCGTCCATACGCCATATTAGCAACTGCCCGTCCTTGAGCGTTTCCAGCGGCCAAACAAATAAGTCCCCTTTTCGCCTTTTCTGGACGGACCTTCGGTTTTTGTGTTATTGGCGTACCATTGAGCCGCACCCCCGTCCCTTGTAAGCCCTTCTGAAACATATCGTAATCGCTGCCTTGAATGGTCGAGCTATGTTTCCTATCATTTGCTTTCCTCAGTTTGCTGATAAAATACGGAAAACAACAAGGGCGAACAGGTAAAGGAGACATGTATAGAGTACATATTTGGCACGAATTTGAATGCTTGGTAATTATCACAAGATTTTGCTAAGTGGGATATTTTACGCAGACATTGTTGTGTAACACTGTTTTATCCCGCTTGAACAGGCTAAATTTCGAGCCGCCCCACTCCCTCCTTCCTGCACATGTCTATACAAAATTTCACCCTGAGCGAGGCCTACCTCCAATTTCTGGAGAAAGTAGTTCAGAGCACTTACTTGAAGTCAAATCCATAGGTTATACCCTCGGAACGCATTCGGTCGAGTGCTAGACCGATGGCGCCACCGCTTTGTGAGAAACCCATGAATGATGGTAGCACATTTTCAACAGCAGCAATTCCTACTGTGACCTAAACATAGGCAAGTGAAATTCGCCATTTCTAGCCGAGGACCAAGGAAGTCGCTACAAAGTCCATCAGCTAGCACTTACAATCTTCTTCTGTTGTGAAATAACTGAAACGAACAGGCAGAAAAGAATCGAACATGTTGAGGTAGGGGTCGGTAGGTGGCCAGCAGGCAACATGAACCATGGTGGGGCTTCCACCTTGAAGACAATCAGCAAGAAACCTACACTTGGAAGCCTTGAAAACCTAGCTGTCTCACATCATACATTTCGAAAAACAGCGAGGTTCTTGGAAAACCTATCTTCAGGTGAACGTCAAACCCATTCCCTGGTTGATGAGCTCGGGCAGTCCAAATCCATATACCATGGGTACAAGTAAACAGCCGAAGGCCATTATGAAACACTATCTATTTCGGCTTTCTAAAATTTGGCACTATACAGGGGGGGGGGGGCAAAAAAAAGACATTTTGCCTCCACTTCCAGATGGATTTAAGCACATTTTACTCAACTCAGACCGAACGGTTCCAACTTATTATTAAAGAGTGCATTCCATTCTATAAGAAAATCTTCATAGTGGCCACGTACGTGGACGGCATCAGAAGAATTAGCCCTGGAAACATGGTGCACTGGTCGATCTCAATGGGGTCTTCGAAGGATCGTGTACCATAACGACCCTTACTGGAAAGCTAGTTCCGAGGGGATTTGCACAGTGGTAGCTAATGCCTCTAGAAAACTATCCAACATTAAATCGATTCACGAAATTGCGTAAGAGCTTCAGGCTGAAGCTCTTACGGTAGACCTCCTTGAGCCTGACGACGGTGACAGATGACGTCATATTCTGAAGACGGTGAGGGCAGTGAAGGAGAGCCTGCGTACACTAATAGAGGAACACTTAGGGAATACTCTGCTGAGGAACTCCCGTCAACGACAGCAATCTCTGCGAAGAAAAAAGAGCCGAAGTCCGACATAGGCAAAATGTCTTTTTTTTTGGCCCCCCCTGTATACGTTACTGTCGCCCTTCTAAAAACTGAGCAATATTTTAAGTGTGTTTCCGCTAATTATGTTGAATTCGGCTAGGAGGGGTCACTTGGTGGTGTACTATCAACGCCGCGAAATCAAGAAGCTGGGACCAAACTCATCAGACTCCTTGGATCCAGATTAGAACACTTATGAACAAGTCCAATACATCAGGATGAGCTGAGGAGGTCATTAAGAAACTGGTACAAAGTCCCGGATAGGCCGGAACTATGTCAACATGTCGTCTTTGTCGGGTTAGTGCTGACCTGTCGGCATGCACAACAATTTCAGCTGGTTGCAAGAGGGCTTTAGCCTGCACCCAAGGGCACCAGTGCGAAAGTAATGTGGTGGTCGAAGCCTGAGGCGCGGGACAAATTGTTTCGCGCTATAATGATGTTCTACTAGTGTACTAGTGTTCTTGCGGAGTCGAAATCACCGAGTGTATGAGGCTGTGCCGGCAGATAAAGGGTGAATTACTATCGAACCATTTTCGAGCCTGCTCTATACATGATACCTAGTCGAAATTATTCTTCCGCTCTAATAAGCACTAATATATTTTTGCGTCAAATTTAGCCCCATGTTTCATGGACATTATATGGATGGCCAACGAAAAGTTCTAGTAACTTTAGCCCACTTGTCAGTCCATCACCAACTAGCCGATTTTATTCACATCCTATTATTTGAATTAAATATCCCTGTCCTCGAAATAACAGTGACGGGATAGAACGATGAATCAGGCGACACATGATAGTCGAGGCCTTCAAAAGTGGGGTTTCCTGTGATTGTTTCACTCAAATCGGAAGCCTAAACTTCATTTATGTTGTCAACTGGCGAACATTGACCGCCTGGCGAACATTGACCCACGCGTCCCTACGATCTCTGCTTATTTTTATTCACTCTTTCAGTATAAAAAAAGGATAAAGCATTTGCCGTTGATCAATCCCTTTTTGGGATGCGGCACGCATTCTACTTCCATTTGTACATTCGTAGTGGCGTTTGAATGCGATGTGGCCTATACAATGACTTGCGGGGGCCAGCCGATGTACAAGTCAGTGTTTTTTATCCTCCCAGACAAGTCTGGTACCAATTAACCGACCCCGGAGGGATGGAAGGCTTGGTTGGCCCGGGCGACTCACGACCCAGGATTTGATCCCCGGACCGCTCGCGTGGTAAGCGTGCCACTTGCCACTACACCACTTCCGCCCTTAATTGGTTAATAGAGAAGAAAGGCGGTACCCGACGTATCTATTTCATTGACCATTCTATTTTGACTTCCACTAAGCTGGAATAATGGTTCTATGGCGCTGCAACGCAGGAGATTGGTGCAAAGGCATCACACGTACAGCGCTCTTCCCCAAACTATTTTTACCGACGTACACTGAATTGGCCTCGTTTCACTTTTGACCCATAAACCTTTATGTGGCTACTGCAAGAGGCCGGTTGAGCAGATCAGCGCGTATGGCTGTAGGCTTGTCCGCTACTTCATCACCCTATACAAAAGGAAAAAATACACGTATGACTAAGGCGCACTTGAGGTACTATATATTTTAATTTTCTTCTCCTTAGCGCTAATCCCGCGTAGTTACATGGTCAGCAATCTTTTTTAGACGTCGCCCCTTAAGCCTGTCTAAGGAGTCTTCTCGCAGTGGCCACGACTTCAGTGAGATCCTTCTTTATGACGTCGCTCCAGCTCTTCCTGATGTACATTTGTCATAAGCGTTCCAATCTGGAGCTCAAACTCATTGTTTCGGTGCTTCGTACAAGGAAGCTTCAAAATGCTGACAACCTAGGGTTTAAGGTCCTCCCAACCCTAGCGAATCTTTACAGATTTGCCTTGCCCTAAAGGAGGATTCCACGATAAACGCGAAGTTCGAGAAAGGGAAACTCACCTAGTGGAGAGCCTGGCGGACCCCTAGGAGTTGAAGGATATCTTCTCTACGATATAGCACGGCTTTCCTCGCGGCGCGACTGCGTCCCACTGACGCGATCCACCCCCCCCCCTACCTTCCACGCCGTCCCGCCTCTTATTGTGAGTCCGTTTTACAGAGATAGCGTTATCGCTGAAGAGGACAGCACCGATGAGAGTCGCATCATAGCGCAAATCAATGGGCAATGAAAGGGTCTGGACCTTTTTCTCGGTTTCTCTGCGTGCATCACTTACCTCTATAGCTTTTCAGTGAGCTGGATTTTCATCGTAAAACCGCCTTCAATCAAACGTTCTCAATCGTAAAGGATGAAAAGGCTAACTTGATGACAGATCAACTCAACTAAGTCAAACTATTCGTCATGTCTTCATTCGACTGTTGAATTGGCGCATCTGCTGGTACCAGCTATTCTATAGAAACTGTATCGGCAGTGTTTCCTCACACCAGGATTTTATCACTTATCCAGAGAATGTTTTGAAATTCCCATGGAACTTTGAAAGGAGACCTAGCTACATACATCGATAGAGTCTTGGACGCTGATTACAAATATGGACACTAAAACTGCTACGTGAACTTTGTAAGAAAGTTGTGAGCCTTAAAAGTTGCAAAAGAAATGATGAGGTGCAGCCTACATGTGAAAACAAGGCTTGCTTTTTATTTCGCCTGGAACATGTTCTAAATGGGTAAATGGTGCCATCATGAATATGAGACTCATTTTTGGCACGAAGTCACGGCCGGTGTGATTCCACCAGGTAAGCTCGCCTCAGTGACACTTTTTGCCAATATTGAAGGCTTTCTCTGGTAG